AGGAGAAAGGGCTGTGGGCCCTGCTGATTGGCCAGGCGCAAGTCGGTGTCTTGTTACACAGGATGTGGTCATATCTATGGTGCGCACTTCCCTTGATTGTCATTGGTTACTTTAAAGAAGTCCTGGGTGTGGCTAGCAGAGGCTTGGGCTTCTGGAAAGAAGCCTTGCCGAGCACATGGCTGCCCAAAAATGCAGGATCCAGAGTAATATGGAGGGCGTAGCCCTTACCCTGGGGCAAGATGGAGGGCGTAGTCCTCGCCCTTTCACTGTCCTCCCCCTCCCTACTATTGTTAGCACATGCATTATCTTGCTCTTCCTCTCAGAGCAGTTCCTAATTTAGAAGAATTGAGTGTGTATAAAACTGGATCATTTCCTGTTCTCAGAGCCCAAATTCAATACAATGCAATGCCTTTTAATTGCTAACCCTATTTTGCATTAATTTTCATATAACATCTAATTTCAACAATGACCACTGGAATTTGACGGGACAGAAAGAAAAGTTAGGCCTGATTTCTAATGCAATTTTTTAAAACCTATCTCTCACAAGATTTTAACATATATCATGGTACCTGACTTTATTATAAAGTAAAAGTCTTATAAAACACACCTCCTGGAACAAAAACCTGGAATTAGCTTATAAATATTATTTATGGTTTTAGTGGTCAGATGACTTCTAATATTTTTAATAACTAGTGTTGTGCATTGTGTGTGTTATACAGCTCTGAAGGCTAAAAATAAAAATTAAAAACATTTTAGCTGTACATGTTTAGACCTAAATTTAAAATATGAAAAAATGCTATTTTTTGTAGTTTTATATATATTTTTAAGATATATATATATATTTTTATTGATTTTTTACAGAGAGGAAGGGAGAGGGAAAGTTAGAAACATCAATCAGAGAGAAACATCGATCAGCTGCCTCCTGCACACCCCTTACTGGGGATGTGTCCGCATCCAAGGTACATGCCCTTGACTGGAATCGAACCTGGGACCCTTGAGTCCGCAGGCCGACGCTCTATCCACTGAGCCAAACCGGTCAGGGCAGTAGTTTTATATTTATAATCACAAATTATGATTTCTAATAAGATTTTTTAAGATTTCTTAGTAGTTTATCTAAGATAGAGCTTAAGAAATAAAGCAACTAAACAAGCCAGCATCCAGATATAAAAATACAAACCAAAACATATCGCTATGAACTCTGAAACATAAAAAGCATTCAAATGAAACAGCAGCCCACTAAACATCATTCATCACCCAAGCAAACAGAGAATGGGCATTCAGTCTGTGGAGCAAAATATTCCCTGGCAAAGGAGAAAGGCCTGTGGTTATGGAAAAGAGCTTTGGAAATAAATGAGAATCCTTTTCATTTGTCTGTTTCTTCAAGCATTCCACCAGTGTTACTTCTTTGCTATATGTTTGTCATTGGGATATTTATACTCACTAGAAAAACATTTCCAATTTTACAATGTAGACATATACTAAAAAGCATTATTTAGGACACACCAACTTATATGCAATCTTTGAAAATTGACATATAAAAACATATTGGTATACAAAAGTATATTATATACACCAAAATTGGTATATAAAAATAGATTAAAACAATAACACAATTTTATCTACAGGGCACTTATGATCTCATTGCCAAACTCTATTCAACAAAAACTTTCAGTCAGACTGTGATCAGCTGCCAGAAGATACAGTACGAACAGCAGCTGCATAGAAAGAGCTCAATCTTGGCTCAGAAAGTTAGGAATTAGTGACTGAGAAAGGTAAGCCGTTATGCAGACTGAAGTTGGGGAAATGGTCTCGAATTATTTGCACCTTGAACTTACCTCACCTGGCAGCAATTTTTATAATTTAAAACCTGTTTTTCTATTTTCAGCATCGTGGTGGGTCCTGAACAGCAGCTAGATGTTTCCACACCTCTTTGTGGTCCAAGTACAAACCACGTGTCAATCAAAATGTGAATTACAACTTCTCTTTAGTTATTCATTTACTCTATTCTTTTTCTATATTTACTCTAAGATGAACACTGTTCTTAAATGTCTTATCTTTGTAACTATCTTTCTTGTAAAATTTAGCTTAATTTTCAAAGTTCAGTTACTCTCTACATTTACTGATTTGCTATACTATATCCCCAAACCCTTTAGTCATAAAATTCTAATATGTGAAAAAAGTGTACACTTAAAGAAACAAAATTGTGAAAAAGAAACTGATAAAGAAAATATTGAAAATGTGAACTTTTAGAATATTACTTCATATATTTGTAGATTTGCCATAAACTATAAGGGTTAAACCAGTGTTTTGTGATTTTTAAGTAACTGATTTTCTGTGAATGAAGTTTATTCTTCTACTAGAGGCCTGTGGGGATCAGGCCAAATTTGTGCACTGAGCCTCTCACATCCCTCGAGGAGTCCTGAACTTTGAGAGGGCATAGGCCAGGCTGAGGGACCCCACCGGTGCACTAATAAGATCTTTGGTTAATCTCTTCCCACCCTCCCCCCTCCCCCCTTCCCTCTGAGATTCATCAGTCTGTTCCATGTTTCCCTGCCTGTGCATTGAGTGTCTGCCCCCTGGTGGTCAGTGCATGTCATAGCTACCGGTCGAATAATCGCACAGTTGCTTAGGCTTTTAGGTATATAGATAATGCCTACTCTTAGTGCTATTCATTTTTCTCTTATTTTAAAAATTGGTACATTATCCAATATAACTGGTGCCCTTATGTACACAGAGAGAGAGAGAGAGAGACAGCGAGAGAAATGGTCATAGGGGGTCACGGAAGCAGCCAACTGCACACACAGAAGAGGGGCCACAAGAGAACCAACCAGCCAGCGCCCTGAGCTTGGACTTGTAGTCTCTAGACCTGAAAGAAAATGTTTCTGTTGTTTAATCAGAAAAAAAGTTAACATAACTTTGCACAAAACCACATTGGCTGAAACCTGCAGAATCTTTATGTATCAGAGTATAAACTGCTTTTTCCCAAGTGAACAGTTCTGTGACAGGTACCATTTATTAATGTGACATCATTATGTAATTTATTAGCATCACAATTCCTTGGATATAAGTCAAACAAATCAAGAAAAATGGAGAGAGAGTTTAACTTTGAGAAAACCTGGTTCATAGCCTATGGCATTATGATCCAGAGGGCTAAATTTCCTAATGAAAAGTAGACATTTCTATTTCAAAATACTTTAAACATTTTTTAATCTAAGTAAACAAAGAAGGAATATAGCACAAGCACCAATTTTAGGGAAATAATAAAATAGGGCAGGTGCTGCACAGTTTCCAGATTCACAGCGGAATGACCACAACCCAGTCCCACTGCCAACGCCTCAGACGCTCCATTGTCTAAGCTCATAAGTTAAATATTTTTCATAGTAAAATCTCTTTTGATGATAAATGTTGCTAATGAAAATATAATGTGTATAGAAATTTGCTACTATACTATTCTGTAGTCCAAATTCCTTTGAAACCACAGGTCTTCCAGGAAAAAAACTGTGAGGTAAGTTTTTCCTGGTTTTTTTTTTGTTTGTTTTTTTGGTTTTCCTGTTGGAAAATTCAGAAAAAAAGGAAGCCTGAACACACACACACAAAATTAAATATAAAACCTAAAATATTTTCTCAAACTGATTCATGGAGTATTTTATCAATACCTTTGTATACCCACAGTCCTCATTCAATCCAAATAAAAGAATTTTGTCATAGGATCTACCTAGACGTAGGTCATAAATGCTGACATAATGCACACACAACTACATGCATGTGTCTCAGGTCACTTCTAAAGAGGAGAAACACTAAGGAAAACCCCTGGCTCAACGTTTCCCTTATCTACCTAGCAAAGAACATCCATGGATAATGGACACCTACAGTGACTATTCAAACCATACACATGTACAAGATATGCAGATAATAAACATCTTTGCTCTGATTATATACAGTAACAAAGGAGGAAGAGATGGAAACCCAGGGGACTGTTGACACACAAACTCTTCTTAAAACACAGATTATAAATGGTTTCAAAATATAAACTACAGCCAATAGCAGTGTTATTCTGGCCAGTCCATGTCAGTGTCAGACTCAGAAGGTGCACTCCACCTTTGGGGATGAGGCAGTTCCCCACGGAGCTTGGCAGCATGACTGGGAGGTGCTGCCCTTAGCAGCAGCGCCAGGCGGAAGGGCCCTGCAGGTTCCAAATTGGAATCATTCCTATTGTCTTGTTAACTAGAATTAAAATACCTTGAGAATAGGCAGAAAATAAAGAGCTCTTACACAGATTATACATCTATTTTTGTGTGAGAGAGCATCTGTGTATTTATTTACACACATCTATATAAGGGAACCTATAATATAAGGGCAAATAGTAGGGGAAATGGCCTGGGGATTACTATCTAATTTAAAGTGACCAATAAATGTATGCCTAATGAAGTTTTCTCTATTTAAAACATAATCTACTTACTTTTCTGGGGAACAAAGCCATGAAAAGTGTGATGGATACTGAGAGACCAAGGAGGGAGACCTACATGGACTTAAAGCTTTAATCTGGTAACAAGCCCAGAGGCCAGTGAACAGAAATGTCCTGTTGTTAGGAGTTGAGGATTCAACCTAAACCTTCCTGCCAAATGACGGCCTTCCACGCCACCCAGCAGCCCCGAAGACGAGAGCTTCTGAGAGAACCGGAGTCGGGGAAGTTTGCACTTACCTTTCTGTCAGCGATACTGTTTGGCACTGTGCTGGAGTGAACCTTTAGGACTAGAAGTCATATCCAGAGTGACAAATTCCAAGACATGGTATAAAAATTCCAGGAACTAAAAGTTTTTAAGCCCTCAAATTCTTCATCTATACATATTCTTGTTATAAGAAATAAAAGAAATTACAGAACTGAATCTTAATGCACCTCAACTGGTTGCAAATGCCTAATTTTTCCTCTTTGGAAATAAGAATGGGTTTTGCAATTACTTTTGTTCATGGGGTCTGATCAGCACGTTTCACCTTCAGTTTTGTTCACTGCTATTGTTTCCAAATTGTCACCCTTTGCTGGTAACGGTGACCCTTAGACAATGTTATTGGAAACATCTATCTGCAAAGACTATCTAAACATGCCCCCGTGTCACTGAGACTGCCCTGCGCAGACGCGTCCTCAGCCGCAGGTTGAAGAGACCCTCTCAGTGCTGGTCTAAAATCAGGAAACAAACAGAAGCCACTTTAGCAACAAGTCTGTGCCATCTACACATCGCAGCAAATTCTTTATATTTGAGAATCTTTACAGCTTACATTTCCATTCCATTATTACAAGTGATGAAAAACAAAAACTGAAAGTAGCATGCAAATTATAAGTACAGTCTTCCCATGTCACTAACCACATTTTTATTTGTGAGTGCTTCTTCCTAATATATTTAGGAAAGTGCTTGAAAAGCTGAAACTGATTAGAAAATTCTTTATAGTTTAAAATATCTCTCTCTCATTTTAGGAGAAACCAAATACCCAACCATCAAAATTAAAAATAAATTGAATTGTCACAGTCCATTACAGTTATTGTTACTAGATCCACTTCATTTGCAGGTGTCCAAAACATAAAACAAATAATTATCTATCTTCAAATTCATCTGTTCTTAAAGTGCTCCTTAAAACTTTGGTTGTTTTCCTATAATATAAAAGAAAAACATAATGAAAACAGTTTTTACTAATTTGTTTATCAGACCAAATACTGTGACTTTACTAAGTGTTTACAGATCTAAATGCATGTTACTATAGAAATTATTAAAGTAACTGGAATTTGTCAAATAACAAAACAATTCTTCTGTGTTTAATAGAACATATGTAATTCATTTTAAATATATTAGATTGTATTCCAAACCTGTTCTGTTTTTGTGGTACTTAATTTTTTAAATGTTATTAATAAATATATCAAAATTAAAGTCAATTCTAATGTATAAGGATTGGTTAAAATAATAAGCATACTCAACTATTATCTACAAAATAAAATATTAGAGATGGAAAGTCTGCAATTGAAAAAATAACAATGAAACCAAGAGCTGGTTCTTTGAAAGGATAAACAAGATTGACAAACCTCTAGCCAGGCTCACCAAGAAGCAAAGAGAGAGGACCCAAATAAACCAAATCAGAAACGATAGAGGCGAAATAACAACAGACCCCACAGAAATACAAATGATTGTTAAAAAATACTATGGACAGCTCTACTCCAACAAACTAGACAACCTGGAGGAAATGGACAAATTCCTAGAAAAATACAACATTCCAAAACTCAATCAGGAAGAATCTAAAAACCTCAATAGGCCAATAACTATGGAAGAAATTGAAGCAGTCATCAAAAAGCTCCCAGCAAACAAAAGCCCAGGACCAGACGGCTTCACAGGGGAGTTTTACCAAACATTCAAGGAAGAACTAAAACCTATCCTCCTCAGACTACTACAAAAAATTCAAGAGGAAGGAACACTTCCAAGCTCATTCTATGAAGCCAGCATCACCCTAATACCAAAACCAGGTAAAGACAACACAATGAAAGAGAATTACAGGCCAATATCCCTCATGAACATAGATGCCAAAATCCTCAACAAAATCTTAGCAAATCGGATCCAACAGTACATCAGAAAGATCATACACCATGACCAAGTAGGATTTATCCCAGGAATGCAAGGATGGTACAACATCCGTAAATCAATAAACGTAATACATCACATAAACAAATTGAAAGAAAAAAACCACATGGTCATATCAATTGATGCAGAAAAAGCATTCGACAAAATCCAACACCCATTTTTGATAAAAACTCTCAGCAAGGTGGGAATAGAAGGATCATACCTCAACATAATAAAAGCCATATATGACAGGCCCACAGCCAACATCATACTCAATGGACAAAAACTAACACCATTTCCCCTAAGAACAGGAACAAGACAGGGATGCCCACTCTCACCACTCCTCTTCAACATAGTCCTGGAAGTATTAGCCATTGCAATTAGACAAGAAGAAGAAATAAAAGGCATCCAAATTGGAAAAGAGGAAGTAAAACTGTCCTTATTTGCAGACGACATGATATTATACATACAAAACCCTAGAGACTCCATCAAAAAACTACTAGACTTAATACATGAATTTGGCAAAGTAGCAGGATACAAAATTAATGCCAAGAAATCTGAGGCATTTCTATACACCAATAGTGAACTTTCAGAAAGAGAGATTATAAAAACAATCCCATTTACCATCGCACCAAAAAAATTAAGATACCTAGGAATAAACTTAACTAAAGAGGTAAAAGACCTCTACTCAGAAAACTACAGGACATTGAAAAAAGAGATAGAGGAAGACATAAAGAGATGGAAGAACATACCATGTTCTTGGATTGGTAGAATCAACATCATTAAAATGTCCATACTACCCAAAGCAATCTATAAATTCAACGCACTTCCCATTAAAATACCAATGGCCTACTTCAAAGATCTAGAACGAACTCTCCAAAAATTCATCTGGAATAAAAAAAGACCCCGAATAGCTGCAGCGATCCTGAGAAAGAACAAAGTAGGTGGGATCTCAATACCAGACATCAAGCTGTATTACAAAGCCACTGTTCTCAAAACTGCCTGGTACTGGCACAAGAACAGACATATAGATCAGTGGAATAGAATAGAGAGTCCAGAAATTAGCCCGAACCAATATGCTCAATTAATATTTGACAAAGGAGGCAAGAACATACAATGGAGCCAAGATAGTCTCTTCAATAAATGGTGTTGGGAAAATTGGACAGATATATGCAAGAAAATGAAACTAGACCACCAACTTACACCATACACAAGAATAAACTCAAAATGGATAAAGGACTTAAATGTACGACAGGAAACCATAAAAATTCTAGAAGAATCCAAAGGCAACAAAATCTCAGACATATGCCAAAGCAATTTCTTCACTGATACAGCTCCTAGGGCAGTTGAAACTAAAGAGAAAATGAACAAATGGGACTACATCAAAATAAAAAGCTTCTGCACAGCAAAAGAAACCATCAACAAAACAACAAGAAAACCCACTGCGTGGGAAAACATATTTGCCAACGTCATATCTGATAAGGGCCTAATCTCCAAAATTTATAGGGAACTCATACAACTTAACAAAAAGAAGATAAACAATCCAATCAAAAAATGGGCAAAGGATCTAAATAGACACCTTTCAAAAGAGGACATTCAGAAAGCCAAGAGACATATGAAAACATGCTCAAAGTCACTAATCATCCGAGAGATGCAAATCAAAACAACAATGAGGTACCATCTCACACCTGTCAGAATGGCTATCATCAACAAATCAACAAACGACAAGTGCTGGAGAGGATGTGGAGAAAAAGGAACACTTGTGCACTGCTGGTGGGAATGCAGACTGGTGCAGCCACTATGGAAGACAGTATGGAGTTTCCTCAAAAAACTGGAAATGGAACTCCCATTTGACCCTGTGATCCCACTTCTAGGAATATATCCCAAGAAACCAGAAACACCAATCAGAAAGGATATGTGCACCCATATGTTCATAGCAGCACAATTCACCATAGCTAAGATCTGGAAACAGCCTAAGTGCCCATCAGTAGATGAATGGATTAGAAAACTGTGGTACATCTACACGATGGAATACTATGCTGCTGTAAAAAAGAAGGAACTCTTACCATTTGCAACAGCATGGATGGAACTGGAGAGCATTATGCTAAGTGAAATAAGCCAGTCAATGAAGGAAAAATACCACATGATCTCACTCATACATGGATAATAAAGACCATTACAAACTTTTGAACAATAATAGATACAGAGGCAGAGCTGCCTCAAACTGATTGTCAAACTGCAGTGGGAAGGCCAGAGAGGGTTGGGGGGCTTGTAATACTTTGAGCAATAAAAAAATTTAAAAAAAAAGAAAAAAAAAATAACAGTTTTATAAAGCATTTAAGTTTAAGATTCATTTGTACAGACCAAGGATCATATGTTCCTAAAGTCTGTGAACAGGTAGGAAAATTCAAGCATCATTAAGGACACTTATCCTCTTTATTTTTTTAAAATTATTTATTGCTTAAAGTATTACAAAGAATATTACATATGTCTCCTTTTTTCCCCACCCTTGACAATCCCCTGGCCTCCCTAGTGTCTTCACTTATCCTCTTTAAATATTCCTGTGTACAAGGCATTATGAAAAAAAAAGTTTAAATTCCTGCTTTAAGTTTAAAAATAAGAATTGGTTGGAAGTGTACAAGTTAGGGATTTTAAGTTAAGAAACATTGATGTATATTATGAGCAAGTTAAAATTTTTAAAAATTGTAATTAAGAAAAAAAGGCTATGAAGTCTAAAGAGTTAGAAATCTCAAAACCGGAGACCACAGGGGGGTAGTCTGTATCTGTTTGAGTCATTCTCAGCATACCTATATTCTGAGCTCTTCTCAATTGAATCCCAGTTGCTTTTCTTTCTTTTTTATTTTTATTTTTACCATTATAGTGTTTCTGAAAACTCTAAATAAAGGTGCTTTACTATGGAAGTAAAGACCATGGAAGATGAAAGTCATGTTTACTGAGTGCCTAATGAGAGACAAGCACCATCCCAAGCACTTCCGACATGGTTGGAATTTAATGCTAACAAGTGCAGATTATCATTCTTATCTGTCATTGTAAAACGGAGGCTCAGGAAGGTTAAGTGACTTGTCTAAGTTTGAACAGGACACCAGTACACACAGTAACCCGAGCCTGATGCCAAAACACATGCCCTTCCCATCAATATAGTTTGTGTATTTATTTTGATTGAATCTGTTGAGGTGGCAGAGAACATTAAGACTAAGAACATCAGAGACATGCTAAAAAGGAATAAGGGGCATGACTCTTTTTTTACTATAAAAAGACAATGTGTGTGGCTGACTGGTGTGGCTTGGTCGTTGAGCGTCAACCTCTAAACCAGGAGGCCACGATTCAATTCTAGTCAGGGCACATCCCCAGCTTGCGTGCTTGCAGTCCCTAGTAGGGGCCATGCAGGAGGCAGCCGAGCAATGATTCTCTCTCATCATTGATGTTTCTCTCTGTCTCTCTCCGTCTTCTCTGAAATCAATAAAAAAATATATTTTAAAAACAACAACTAAATGAACAGAATAAAAGGCCCAGAAACAGACCAGACCATATCGTAGCCACAAAGATGGCGGCGGCGGGGGGTGAAGAACCGAGATTGTGACATAGGTAAATGTGGTAATTGCTGCCTCCCACAACCACATCAAAATTACAACTAAAATACAGAACAGCCCTAGCCAGTTTGGCTCAGTGGATAAAGCGTCAAGGGCACATGCCCAGGTTGTAGGCTCAATCCCCAGTAGAGGGTGTGCAGGAGGCAGCCAATCAATGATTCTCTCTCATCATTGATGTTTCAATCTCTCTCTCCCTCTTCCTTCTTCTCTGAAATCAATACAAAAAAATACTATAAAATACAGAACCACCATCATTCAGAACCACCTAAAATCTGGCTGAATGGAAGTCCTACAACTAGAGAAGTAAAGAAAAAAGCACATCGAGACAAGTAGGAGGGGCGGAGGAGCGGAGGAACGGAGGAGCGGAGGAGCGGAATGGGCTGGTCTGACACCCACATGTGACATGTTTTTAATCAGGAGGAATATCTTGGTTGCAGAAGCTTCCAGTGAGGGACAATGGGACCCAGGCCCACATCACATCTCCTCAGGCCAGGGCTCCAGAGCTGGAAAGAGAAGTCCCAGTAACTTCAGGCTATAAAAACCAGTGGGGATTGTGGCTGAGTGACACAGAGGCTGCTGGAGTCCCAGGCAGTTCCTCTTAAATGGCTACCACTAGGACTTACTAGGATTCACTCCCTCTGAGCTCCAGTGCTGGGGCAGTGGCTTGGGGGGATCCAGGGACATATGAAGAGAAACTGGACTGTCTGGCATTGGGGCAAGAACTCAGGGGCAGCTTTCTCATAGACAGGGGTTCATTGTTCCTATACTGAGACCTCCCCCTCACAGAGCTGACTGGCAGGGGCCATATCTGAGTCACTACCAACCTGGTTCACACTGTTTGCTCCACCTGGTGATTCCCTGCGACCCCGCCCCACCCAATTTGCAGCCTCACCCAAGCTGTTTGCAGCTGCTTTTCCATATGAATGGCCTTTCCTGGCTCAGGTTTCAGACTTTCCTAAAATCTCTCAAACAAGCAACAGCTGGACTCAGCATGTCCCATATCTCTCAATAAGGGGCCCAAGACCTGGCACTAGCAGCAGCCTGCCTTGCTTCACAATTTGGCCTTTCTTGGGTACTTTCAAGCCCAATACAAGTAGCAGCTATCTGCAGATCACTCTGTAGTGCCTGACAGCAGTGGCTGACTTTGCATTATCTGGGAGGCCCCAGAGCCAGTGCACCTGGTGGACAGCTTCAGACCACAAAAGATTACAACTCTATACATCCACAAGTGATGCACTCAAGGGGCAGACTCACTGAAGCAAGTCCTGTTCCATAAGGGTGTCTCCTGCATAGCAGCTCTTCCACTGTAGTTGCAGCTGGTCCTCAAAGTCAAGTGGCTTGGGAATCAATTCCTCCCAGTGAGGAATCAAGTAATCAAGACTCAACTACAACAAGACTGTGCACACAGCCCACACACAGGCACAACTAGAGTGCCCAGGTGACTGGGGAGGCTGAGTCATTGGGTCCTACAGGACCCCTACTAAACAAGGCCACTATGAATTCCAGGAGACATAGCAGCTCTACCTAATACATAGAAACAAACAGGAAAGCAGCCAAAATGTGGAGACAAAGAAACATGTTACAAATTAAAGAACAGAAGAAATCGCCAGGAAAAGAACTAAATGAAATGGAAGCAAGCAAACTACAGAGTTCAAAACAATGGTTATAAGGATGCTCTAGGACAGTGGTTCTCAACCTGTGGGTCGCGACCCCTTTGGCGGTTGAACGACCCTTTCACAGGGTCACCTAAGACAATCCTGCATATCAGATATTTACATTACAATTCATAACAGTAGCAACATTACAGTTATGAAGTAGCAATGAAAATAATTTTATGGTTGGGTCACAACATGAGGAACTGTATTTAAAGAGCCAGAAGGTTGAGAACCACTGCTCTAGGATATTAATTAGAGTTTCAAGGATCTTTATGAAAGCTTTAAGGGACTTAGTGAGACTTTCAAGGATCTTAGTGAGAATGTCAAAGACATGAAAAAGGATCAGTCAGCAATTAAGCATAAAGAATAATTTATAGGGATTCAACAGTAGAGCATGCCAAGAATCAAATCAATGATTTGGAATATGAGGAAGCAAAAAACAACCAACCAGAAGAGCAATAAGGAAAAAGAATCCAAAAATATGAAGATACAGTAGTGTAAGGAGCCTCTGGGGCAACTTCAAGCATACCAACATTCACATTATGGGGATTCCAGAAGGAAAAGAAAGGGAGGAAGATATTTAAAAGCTATTTGAAGAAATAATGATAGAAAACTTCCCCTACCAAGTGAAAGAAATAAACTTACAAGTCCAGGAATCACAGAGAGTCCCAAACAAAAGGAACCCAAAGGGGCCCACACCAAGACATATCACAATTAAAATGCAAAGGGTTAAAGACAAAGAGAGAATCTTAAAAGCAGCAAGAGAAAAGCAGTTAGTTACCTACAAGGGAGCACCCATACGACTGTCAGCTGGTTTCTCAACAGGAACTTTTAAGCCCAGAAAGGAGTGGCAAGTAGTAGTCAAAGTGATGAATAGTAAGAACCTAAAACCAAGATTACTCTACCCAGCAAAGCTATCATTTAGAATTAAAGGTCAAATAAAGAGCTTCACAGACAAGAAAAAGCTAAAGGAGTTCATCACCACCAAACCAGTATTACATGAAATGTTGAAAGGGTATTCTTTAAGAAGAGGAAGAGGAAGAAGAGGGAGAAGGAAGAGGAGGAGGAAGAGGAGGAGGAGGAAGAGGAAGAGGTGGAGGAGGAGGAGAGGAGGAGAGGGAGGGAGGAGGGGGAGGAGGAGGAGGAGAGAAAAAAGATAAAAATATGACCAATAAAATGGCAATAAATACATATCTATCAACAATTTAATCTAAAAGTCAAAATAAACAAACAAGGAATCTAATGAACAAAATAAACTGATAAATAAACTAGAACCAGAGTCATAAAAACATGGGACAGACTAATGAATCTCAGAAGGAAGGGGGAAAGAGGGATAGGAAGAGATTGACCAAAGGACTCATGTGCATTACCTATGGACACAGACAATAGGGTGGTGAAGGCCTGGGGCAGAATGGAAACTGAGCTGAGTGGAGGGGGGCAACTGGAGAAAAAAGGGAACATCCATAATACTCTCAACAATAAAGATTTAAAAAACAACACAATAAAAAACTAAGATGACAGAGGACTTAGCCTCTCATTAAATATTGCTAGGATGACTTAAGATCCATGGAGAGGGAAAAAACAAACACTTTTACCTCACATTATATAGCAAAATCAATTCCAGGTGGATAATAGAACTTAATTAGAAAACAAACCAATAGAAGTTTTATAAGAAAACTAGAAGCCGGGTGCACGGATTTGTGCACCGGTGGGGTCCCTCAGCCTGGCCTGCGCCCTCTTGCTATCCAGGACCCCTTGGGGGATGTAGTAGTACGCAATGCGGCAGGTGGCTGGGGAGGAGCCCAAGACGGAGCCAAGTGCCCGCTCATCCTGGCCCCACTGCGCCTGCCGCTGCCACCGCTCAGTAGCACTGCCATGGAGGTGGGAGAAAGGCTTGCGCCACTGCAACTGTGCTCGCCAGCCATGAGCCCAGCATCTGGCACCCCTCAGTCAGCTGAGCAGTGCTCCCACTATGGGAACGCACTGACCACCAGGGGGCAGCTCCTGCATTGAGCATCTGCCCCCCTGGTGGTCAGTGTGCATCATAGTGATTGGTCAAATGGTCATTAGGTCGTTTGGTCACTTAGGCTTTTATATATGTAGATATGTCATGCTCTTTTCAATAAACATAACTATTCCATTCTAATTCTTTTTTTATTTTGTTTTGTTTTTGTTAATCCTCACCCAAGGATATTTTTCCATTGATTTTTGGAGAGAGTGGAAGGGAGGCTATGGTAGAGAAAGGGAAAGATGGGGAGAGAGACACACACAGAGAGAAACATCTATGTGAGAGAGACACATGTGCCCCATCTGAGGCCAGAGATTGAACTTAGAACCCAGGTATGTGCCCTTGACCAGGAATCAAACCCAAGACCCTTCTGTACATGGGATGATGCTCTAACCACTGACCCACACCAGCCACGGCCCATTCTAATTCTTCACTAGAGTGTTAATTACTTACGGTAATTGGTGATATTATACATTTACATTTATGTAATTTTATGCATTATGTTTCACAATGATAACAAAAATTGAGAGTGAATAAAATGATAGTATTAAAGATAAACATTTTGGAATTAAAATTATACAAAATTAGAAAACTAAGAGGGGAGGGAGAAGGGGAATGATGACAAAAGTGAAGGGCATAAGCAAAAGATAAAAAACCTCATACACAGACAACAGTATGGTGATTATCAGAGGGGCAAGGGGGGATAGATGGTGATGGAAAGAGGCCTGACTTGGGGTGGTGAACACACAATACAATGTACAGATGATATATTATAGAATTGTACTCCTGAAACCTATAAAATTTTATTAACTAATGACACCCAATAAATTAATTAAAAACAAAACTTCTAAAGAAAAGGAAACTACTTACTGGTTTTTGAAGTACAATGGGATGATCAGGAAGAAAGTCTGGTTTTTTCCTGCAGATGGAAACACTGGAGAGCTTCAACAGGAAATCTCTGCTGTATTTAATTCTCTCTGTAGATATTAAAGATTAAATGTTTTTATAACACACAGAACTCTTCCAGATCACTTTTCTGCTCAATGCTTTCTTGATATCCCTTAACTGTCCAGAAAGGACTAATTTCTCTGCCAAAAAACTTGCTTCCAATTTTCCTCTTACAAGAAAAGTAAGCCAAGTAACCAAGGAAAAATGGAGGAAAGAGACGATGCTAAGTGAGCTGTTCTAGCAAATGACTGAATCCAAGGAGGGGGTCTTAGAAACCTGCAGTTTGTAGCCAAGGTAGATGACCTTCTGGGCAAGCTGGGCCTACCACTTGCAAGTGTGTTCAGAAGTAAAGGGTTCCCACAAAATAACAAGGTAGCCCACTGTATGGGAGAGCATATTTGCCAATGATACATCCAATAAGGGGTTAATCTCCAAAGTTTATAGAGAACTCATACAACTTAACAAAAGGAAGATAAACCAATTACAAAATGGGCAAAGGACCTAAATAGACACTTCTCCAAAGAGGGCATACAGAAGGCTAAGAGGCATATGAAAAAATGCTCAAAGTAACCAATCATCCGAGAGATGCAAATCAAAACAACAATGAGGTATCGCTTCACACCTGTTAGAATGACTACCATCAACAAATCAACAAACGACAAGTGCTGGTGAGGATGTGGAGAAAAGGGAACCCTGGTACACAGGGAATGCAGACTGGTGGAGCCACTGTGGAAAATAGCATGGAGTTTCCTCAAAAACTTAAATATGGAACTGCTATTTGATCTAGTGATCCCACTTCTAGGAATAGATCCCAAGAAATCAGAAACACCAATCAGAAAGGATATATGCCCCCCTATGTTCATAGCAGGACAACTTACAATAGCTAAGATTTGGAAACAGCCCAAATGCCCATCAGCAGAGGAGTAGATTAAAAACCTGTGGTACATCTACACAATAAAATACTACGCTGCTATAATAAAAAAGAAAGAACTCACACCATTTGCAACAGCATAGGTGGAACAGGAGAGCATTATGCTAAGTGAGATAAGCCAGTCAGAGAAAGACATATATCACATGATCTCACTCATATGTGGTATCTAATGAACAACATAAACTGATGAACAAAAATAGATACAAAAACATAGAAGCACCAAACAGACTGTCAAACCTTAGAGGGAAGGCAGGGGAGGGTGGGCAGGTGGGAAGAGATCAACCAATGAATTTACATGCATATATGCATAACCCAGGAACACAGACAATAGGGTGATAAAGGCCTGGGGTGTGGGGGGGGGGCAGGGTGAGAGAGGACAATAGGGAAAAAGGGGACATATGTAATACTTTCAATAACAAAGATTAAAAATAAAAAGAAGAAATGGTGGGTGCTGTTGTGGGACTGAACCCTGTACCCGTGGAGTCTGTATGAAATACAGTGTCAGGATTAGATTGGATTATAAAACACCCAGCTGGTGTTGCAAACAACTGCTTGCTACAATGGAAACACTGCACATCTTGTGTCCGAAGTGAAGTGCCGAGAGTACAGAGAATACGAGAGTCCAGGAGAAGCACAGGAGGGCCGTTTCTACCTTGCACATACCCAGGGAGAAATCTTCAGGAATGTCATAGAAGTTCAAAATTGTACATGACACAGAAGATACACAAATAAGCTTCTACCTGCTTAAGCGATTGTTATTATGGTCTCACCGTTAGAGCAGTCAAGCCTACAGCCTGACTAATATGGGCAGAAATCAACCAAAAGAATATAATAAATGTCTATTACAGCAAAGCAAATATCAACTCCACATAAATACTAACACTCTCTTATGAAATCTTGGAATTATAATAAAAAGTTACCTTTTTTAACTGGAGACTGATGTTGCGTTTGCTCGCTGAGGCCCGGAGAAAAGGCCTGCATTCCATTCGTCTTACACTGTTGAAAGAAGAAAATACACTTTTTAATTAAGGTATAAAAATTTTATGAAGCACTTTTTTACAATTCAAAAATATTCTCAATTACCAAGTATTAATCAAGGCATATTTTTTGGCTAAAGGATAAGCAATATGATAGTATACCTATTAAAATAAGCAATACAGATATCTTTTAAAATATATTCACATATTTTTGTCATGATCGTAATTATTTTTGAAAAGGACCATAAAACCGAAGATGAATAATATGATATTAAAGATAAATAATTCCAAGTGGCTCAATTGATTGGAGCGTCGTCATGTACACCAAAAGATTGTGGGTTTGATTCCTAGTCAGAGCACATGCCTACAGAGATCCAACAACAGACTAGAGGATCCCAAGAATCAAGTCAAAGATTTGAAATACGAAGAAGCAAAAAACACCCAACCGGAAAAGCAAAATGAAAAAAGAATCCAAAAATACGAAG